AAAAATGAGAGATATCTCTTTAAGTTGAGAGATATCTCTATTTTTTAAGAGATAGCTCTCTAAAATGAGACTACGGGGGGTGTCTTCTACCTATTCCCCTTTTTAAAAATCTCAATTCCATAATTAGATAGTTAATTTGTTTTTACAGTAACTAAACTAATTTACCTGTATTTCGTACATTTTAGACAGAAAATAATGAATACATCTATGAGAAAATATGATTTATTTCGGATTTTTGAAATAATAAAAAGGTATTACAAGTAAAAGCAACTTAATATCTTAATTTAAGAACATTAAATAAATAGATTTATTGAAAAAAAGCATTCAAGTTAGTGGATTTTAGAATGAATATACTATAGAAAACAGAGAAAAAATATAAATTAATTCTATCAAAAATCCATTTTTTTTTCCAAATATTAGTAAAAAGTCTGTTTTATAATTTAATAAAGCAAATATACCTGTCCTCTATTCCAACAGGTGTTCATTAATCATTGTTTGTACAGTAATTATATGTTTTCATGGTTAATTATTTGTTTACATAAAAATTCCACCTATTCCCACATAAAATCTTACCTTTTTCTACCTGATTTTCAAAAAATGGGAATGGGTAGAATGAACCCTACGGGGTTGTCAGTTCGGGGTTTCCTCATGCACATACATAATTTTACAATGTAACACAGACAAGTCCCATAACATGTCTGAAATCCTTATACATGTAGCTTTTTTTAAAAGACTATTCTAAAAGTTTTTTTAAAATCTCGCGCAGTCGTATCGAATCTACCGTGGTATAGGGCCTCAGTTTTAAGGTCTCATCCGAAGGATCTGCAACTTTCACTTTAGGGTGTCGAGTGCATGGAAAAGTTGCTACAGGTCTATTTTTCACAGGCACCCGACATTACTAATTTTTCTATCAATAAAAAATAAATATACATTGTACCCCCTACCTAATAATAAACGTTGATTTTTAGGTACATGTAGGGGGTATATTTTTTAATTAAAAGAAAAATAAGAAACATCTGGTGCCTGTGCCACAGGTGCTTGAGGACAGGACCCCCCCCCCCCACCCCCCTTCGATATAGACCCCTGGGCTTTTTCGACTTTTTTCTCATAAATAATCTTTCATTGACATATTTGTGATAAGATCTATACCAACAAATCGAAAAATTACCTAAAACAAACGTTCTATAAAATCTACCCTACATTCTCGATATAAAAATCAACAAGGTTGCCAACTCCGTAAAAAGCTTATCGAACGGAAGTGATGAGGAGAGGACTAATTCCCCATGTTCCCCATATAACCAAACATGCGTATAAGATATGAACAATAGATATATTCTTGTTTTTTGTACGAATTCTTCATAAAGATATTATTTTCAAATGTTTTATAGATTTGACACGAAATATTTAAGGAAAAGAAGGTATTTTAATAAATTGTATTTTTAAAAGGGCATAACTCTCAAAACCAATACATGTAAATCAGTTATTTGAAAAATGTTTAGAAATATTTCATTTACATCAGCGGTTTAGAACTCTATTCTTCCAATACATTTGAAAGACAGTTTTTAAAATGTAAATCAACCAAATTTCTTCAAATGTTTATTTCAAAACAGTGTTTCAGACTTTCTGCAGAACTGTGTATTTCGGTAAAAAGTCGTCTCCTCGTCACTTCCGTTCACTAAGCAAAAACGCTCACTGTAGCCTGACATCCTTTTGGAAAACTGGCCATAACGACTGTTAAAGTGCCTTAACCTTCATGAGAGTTGGCGGTTAATGAAAAGAATATTCAATTTACAATATGAGTTGTTGATTTTAGGGCTTTGTTTAGATTTATGAGACGATTCAACCAAAATTCTCAGCAGTGCCTCTCGGTTTGCAGACGAAGTTGTCAACCTTGTTATTTTATATATAGAGAGTGGGGTAGAAATTTTTATAAAATGTTTATTTAAGCAAATTTTCTGAATTGATAGGATAGATTATATCACAAATGTGTCATCCATATATAATTTATGTGAAAAAAGTCTAACAGGCCTGGGGGTCTATATTGGGGGGGGGGGGGGGTCCTGTCCTCAAGCACCTGTGGCCTGTGCTATAATTTTTATCGACCTAGGTCAGTAGCTATATAGCGGCCAAGATTCGACCTCACGGCCTTCTGAGAAAACATGTAAATAATTCATGGTATTACAAAAATGATAACCCCAGAATGCTGGAAAATACAATTAAAAATTAAAATTTACAAACATAGCTGTGTATATCTTTCTGTCAAAGCACAATTAAGTTCATTGAATACTAACATGACCATTGTGAGGGATATACCTAAACGTTCAACACTGATTTTTTTTTTCAAAATTCATATTAAGTTATTTAGATTTACCAGTATTTCATAGATTCAGGCCACAGGTGCTTGAGGACAGGACCCCCCCCCCCAACCCCCCTTCGATATAGACCCCTGGGCTTTTTCGACTTTTTTCTCATAAATAATCTTTCATTGACATATTTGTGATAAGATCTATACCAACAAATCGAAAAATTACCTAAAACAAACGTTCTATAAAATCTACCCTACATTCTCTATATAAAAATCAACAAGGTTGCCAACTCCGTAAAAAGCTTATCGAACGGAAGTGATGAGGAGAGGACTAATTCCCCATGTTCCCCATATAACCAAACATGCGTATAAGATATGAACAATAGATATATTCTTGTTTTTTGTACGAATTCTTCATAAAGATATTATTTTCAAATGTTTTGTAGATTTGACACGAAATATTTAAGGAAAAGAAGGTATTTTAATAAATTGTATTTTTAAAAGGGCATAACTCTCAAAACCAATACATGCAAATCAGTTATTTGAAAAATATTTAGAAATATTTCATTTACATCAGCGGTTTAGAACTCTATTCTTCCAATACATTTGAAAGACAGTTTTTAAAATGTAAATCAACCAAATTTCTTCAAATGTTTATTTCAAAACAGTGTTTCAGACTTTCTGCAGAACTGTGTATTTCGGTAAAAAGTCGTCTCCTCGTCACTTCCGTTCACTAAGCAAAAACGCTCACTGTAGCCTGACATCCTTTTGGAAAACTGGCCATAACGACTGTTAAAGTGCCTTAACCTTCATGAGAGTTGGCGGTTAATGAAAAGAATATTCAATTTACAATATGAGTTGTTGATTTTAGGGCTTTGTTTAGATTTATGAGACGATTCAACCAAAATTCTCAGCAGTGCCTCTCGGTTTGCAGACGAAGTTGGCAACCTTGTTATTTGAGAGTGGGGTAGAAATTTTTATAAAATGTTTATTTAAGCAAATTTTCTGAATTGATAGGATAGATTATATCACAAATGTGTCATCCATATATAATTTATGTGAAAAAAAGTCTAACAGGCCCGGGGGTCTATATTGGGGGGGGGGGGTCCTGTCCTCAAGCACCTGTGATTCAGGCAGGGTTGTTTACCAAAACGTATTGCTATACGTTCTGGGCTCGATTTGGGTGATCCCACACTCAAACTATTTTGAGTAATTTACATATATTTCATTACTGTAAGTAGTTACGTTACACATTCATTGTCTGACGTCACGGCGTCAGACAGTACTAGATTTAACCAGGGCTTATTTATGCAGTCTTTCCATGAAATTGTTTAGATAGTTCGATGGTGGAAATTTCGATACATGCATAATCTCCAAAGACGAATGTAGTTCGTTCCAGGAGGAAATGAGCTTTTATTTACATTACTTAATGATCGTGTCTTTAGTATAATCCGTGCTTTCATCTTTTAACATGTCCGCTTCAGTTCTCTATAAAAAATACCTTATTATATAAGTCTCATTGTTTTGTGTTGTGTTTCAAAGATTAAGTTATGCTTAAATAATTGATTGCTTATTTTCAGTAAAATTATACCTTGGCATTGCTTTACTTGTACCTAAACATCAGGCACGTGGTAAAATATTTTCTCTTAGTTGTCCTGCTCCAAATATGATAAAAACTGATAGTGCAGTGTCTGAGAAAAATGCAGTGAAAACAGAAAAAAATTCTTATTCAAGTTCGCTTTTAATTCTTTATTGTGTAAATAGATTTGCATGTTGCTGAATTGTTATACTTCACTCCTATGCAACGATTATATTTTGAACGATATTGCATCAATTTGTAAATTAGTTTGCATCATCTAGTTTCTTTTCCCAGATGCTTCAGTTAAGAATTTCATCAATCAATTACGTAACAGTGTTAAGTAGAGAATCATTGTACATCAAATGGTTTGAGAAGCAATGAAAGCTTTCAAGAACAGCAGGGGAATGGTCAGCATGTGTAACGCTCTGCCAAGATTGTTATCGCCAGGGTTAAGGTTATACGCGCCCATTAAGTGATCAAAGATGTTCCCTTTGATTTTATCATTTACAATCTTCATTTTATTCTGTTTGTTAAATAAAAAATTAGTTAGGTCATTTAACATATAAAATATTACTTGAAAAATGCTGACCCGGGATCTTGAAACATCTTAAGCCTACGTCCATCAAATTCTTTTTTTTTTTTTTTTTTTTTTTTTTTTTTTTTTTTTACAATAAACTGTTGTAAAAGTCAAGCAGACCAGAAGGGTTAGGTATATTTTTAATATTGTTTCACATAGATGTTGTTATGTGCAAATGAAGAAATGAGTTCCATAATTAATAAATATTTTATCGGCGATTAAAAATTTCACTTAAGTCTTAGTTTGTTTCGTGATCCTGGGCTGGAGCCAGGAGCTTCAATTTAAAGTTCTTTGTACATTATTGTATACAATATTGATTGCGCATGGTATCTTGAAGATATATTATCGAACGAAAGAAATTTTATAACATAATATATTATTTCTTTCCGCTTTATTAATTTAAGCAAACTACGTCAGACAAGCTTTTTAGGAAAGCTAATACTTGTGTAGTTTTATGTTTCGAAAACTAAATGTCAAATGAATAATGTAATGTACGACTTACTAAAATTCAAGCACTTGTATGCCCTTGACCTTTGTCACCGCCATTGACAACGCTATCAACAACATGGCTGCCCGATAAAGAAGGAAACGGTCAATTTATGATTTTCTTGGAATGTGTTAGTCCTTGACATGCATTTAAGATGAAGAAGAATCCCTTAGCATGATAAATAAGGGCTCGCGATCTGAAGGCGGCCATAAACCGCATCTTCGTCTTCTAGATTTGACTTTCGACAATGGGGTCACAAAATCGGAGAACGGATCCAGGCCTCATGGGGGCCTGAGAGGTGTGTTGTAATTTTTCCTTTATTAAGCTCTTGGTTTACATCATTGTATATCTAAATCTTTAATGAGGTGTATGTGTGATTAACTTATAAAACTATTTATTCCTCCTTCTAAACATAATTGGGTTCGTTCCAGAAAGTCACCCTTTAGGTCATAAGTGTATACTTCTAGTTGAAAAATTCTCTCTAAACTGTTTAATAGAATAGATCTAAGACAGTTTTGTGTTACAATGTAGGTAGCAAGAAGCATCCTTTAAGTCCTTATTCCTTTAACAAGCCATCGGAATATCATGTCCAACTTAGAGAAGATATCAACAATCTCTTCAAAGAGGAATTTTTTGATGGACGCGGTTCCCCATCATGGGCGTTTGGGATCAGTAAAGAGATGACACACAGTGGGGAGTCTCCATTTCATGTCCATGGTCTGCTGAGTACAAGTAAAGTATGTATCATGTTAATAAAAGCATAAATTATGTTAAGAAAATAATAACAGTATGTTTTATATCCTATACTTATTTTACTGTGTAAACTACTTCTACATGTAAGCTACTAAATTCCTCAAATGAAGATATATTTAAACATCATCATCGTCCTTTACACCCTGTGGTGTGTAGGGGACGATGATGTTTATTTTATATATTAAATAAATGCTATGATTTAATTGCTGATCTTGCACTCAGCAGATGTATTTGAGTTGAGATTTAGCAATATGGAATTGATTTTCAATATGCACAGAGAGAGAAGTTGAAGAAAATATATGGCAAAATAGAATATGTGCAACACATTAAAAAATTGGTGAATTCATCATGTAATTGTGTTTACAGGTGGAAAGTGAAACAAGCTCGGTTCACAACATCAGGCGTTCGGTAACTCCTGCTTCCTCGGCAAGGAATACTCCAAGAAAAAGAAATACAGGAACTTCATATTACCGCCCCACAACTCCTCACCAGTTCTTAACGGCAACAAATCCATCACAACTGTCTGCCAAGGAACTCAAGTATGGAAGACCCACGAGGACCACGTAAGCAAAATTTATTTATTTCATTTTTTTCATTTCAGTTAGAGTCCAGTAAGAGTCATAAAAATTCATCTATTTGAATACTTGATAAAGGTATTGTACAGTAATCTACTAAATTTTGAATGAATTTAGAGCTGATGTAATAGTATTTAACTTTTGTGATCTCTTGCCTGCCTCGAGATCCAATTATATTACAAAGGTTTTTTTTCCCATTTGCGGTAAATCAGGAGATTAAAAGTCATAACATATATTTATTTCTTAAAAAAAAATTCTATCTCTCTCATAAGAAAAAACATGAAAGATTTTAAAAATTAAGTGATAAACAGAAAAATTATTTTACGCTGTATTATAATTCAATCAAGTTTACAGTTATAAGAAAGATAATATTGTTTCAAATGAAAGAGCCCTTTATTTATGGATGCATTATTTTATACATATTTATTTCATTGAGCTAGCTACTTGTTGTGTTCTGGGGACTAAAATACTAGTTTTTAGTTTGTATGTTTCTTATTTTTGAAAAAAAAATTACAATTGCCAAAAAAAGGCTTATTAAAGGTCAGTAAAACAATTACATTCTATCATACAAACATGCTTTATTTATACATATATAATTTAATTTTGTTTGTATTCTAGCCTCACATTGGTTGATTTCCAAAAAGGAATGCATTATTCTGTATAATCTGGTTTGGTATGGGGACACCCCCCAGCTGAATCATCTGTATCCATGCAATCCCCTCATTTACAGACCTTGAGATTCATGGAAAATTCCAGATTTAATAAATGAAACTTTAACTTCAAACAGTATCTTGATCTCACCTCATGCAAACAATAAAGCAGATTATAAAGCGTAAACTGACCAAAACCAGGTTATATTGAGTAATTTGGCCAAGAATTAGATTCATTTCTTAAATACACACATGTATACGTAGAAATGTAAATAGTGACAGAAGTTATGTTTTCACAATGTATTTTGGTTGAAAAAATTAGGAAAATTTATAGTCAAAACTACTTTTAAAAATATTTTGATATTTTAAAAAAAAAAATTGTGATGCATCACAAATAATTCTTTTTGTGGATACCCATCCCTATATAATATTTTTTTATATTTTAGAAATTAAAATTCAGAAAGCACATACATAATCACTTTTTATTTTATAGCTTACTGCGAGCCAGACAAAGATGTGCTTCAGCTCCTGTGAATTCCTATGATGTAAGAAGAGAAGTAGTCAAAAGTAAGTCAAGTGTTAAACTCTAAAAATAAAGATTTGAAATTTCTATATATTTCAAACAAGATAGAATTTCACAAATTAGAGTGGTGTCAAACATACAGTCATGTTTTAAATAGATGTAAAAAGAGTTTCAAAATGTGCAATAGACAAAGGAGGGATGAGAGCATTAATTAATTTTTTTTTTTTTAATGTTTTGTTGTTGTTTTGTTTGTTTCCTTTCTTCTTATTGTTGTTGTTGATTTAGATCTTTATATGACATGTACAATTTATAATCAAGTTAAGTTATTTTTAAAACTAATTCTGTCAAACTATGATAATATTGATATCCTTCAGATTCAATACATAATATAACTGTGAAGTAAGTGTTTTGAGTTTTCCCAAATTTTCTTCATTGCATGTTAATATACCCACAGTCTATATTTCGTCTCTTGGATATGGACTTTGGACAGCCAAAGCTGTTTACATCAAAATCCCTTTCTTTTTGTTTATATACATGTATATACAGTAAAACTAGCTCTGTTATAACGAAGTCACTGGGGCCTATGAAATTACTTAGCTATAACTGTAATTCGTTATATCCGTATAAGAAATTGATTATTTTTTTTTATTTGGGGATCTAAAATGACTTCGCTTTATCCTTGAATTTCCAATATCCATGTTCGTACTAAACGAGTTTTACTGTACTTACTTAAATGTTATCATTCAAACTGATTCTAGGAGTATTTTTTTAGAATTTAAAAAAAATTAAAAAAGACCCCTTGCCAAAAACAAAAACAAAAAATTGCCTGGATGGTTTATGAAAGTCAAGAACGTTACCATTTCACATATTTGATTTTGATATTTCTTTCATACCTTGGTTTGTATACTATTATATCAGCTATAGACTTATTGATGATTTTTTTTTCTTTCATACCTTGGTTTGTATACTGTTATTTCAGCTATAGATATTGATGAGGTGGAACCTGAAACATTTCGCTATGCAGACCACTGTCTGTCATGCCGAGGTATCCCACAAAATACAAACCATAAATCAATATTCGGTCACTCATATTTTTCAATGCTGTCACCACTTTGGCTGAAGGGTGGATTTTTATTTTCTTTTCTCTTTTCTTTCAAATGCATGAATTGTTTCAAGATTTTATTTTCTTGCTTTTCATATTATATATATTTGGAGATTTCACATATTGAATGCAAATTTAGAATCTATTGATTTCACACAAATTATGTAGACTTTTGTTCAATGTAGGTGCATGTGTTTTGTTCACTACTGCTATATTTCTTTTCTTTTGGGATATATATATATATATATATATATTGTTTACAATATGTATTTTATATTTTAAGTTTAATGAGGATTGTATAATGTTTAAGGTGTGTGCATGTACACACAACTCAATTTCGTTAAAAACTAAGTACCAACTTTCAAAATGTTTCCTTTTTAAATCCGTATGAATATATTTTGGAATGATATTATGCAAAGTAGTTTCTAAGTACATGTAGGAATATAGGTAATTGGGTCAAATGTGAAATGTTACGTTACGTCTCATAAAAAAAACTAAATAAAGAAACATCAAACAAACTTTAAGAGAAACCAATCACTACTGGCAAAAAAAAGGAAAAAAAAGAACCAGTTTAATTATACTAGTGGTTTTGGTTGATTATATTGTGGTTTTGTGGTTTGGTTGATACATATGTAACATGAAACCCAGAAATATGAGGGAATATTTGAAATGTAGATCATTGAAAAATATGAAATTAAAAATATTGAAAAATGAACCATACAATTTTTTTTTACTTCACATAATTCATCATGTAGTTTTTATTTTCAAAGAAAAAGCTTATGGTTTGTTTTCCTCGAATGCATTATAATATTTTGTTTTCTAAGAAAAAAAATATGTACATAAAAGTGCCAAAACAGGTTTTTGATGATATTTTTTCGTTTTAATTCAGAAGCAGAAAGCACTACATCCACTGGTCAAATGAACAAAGAGTAAGTTTTTTTTCTCACATGATGAATATCTTTTGTTCATGAGAAAGCAAATATATTCATACAGCTTGAAAATGGTGCGCAGATTTAATTATGTCAATTAACATTCATCTCACATTTGTTTGAAGTGTAAATTAACATTTTGTTTTTTGATCTAATTCATTAGATGTCACTAAAGGTGAGTTTCAACACGTAATAAACAACTGTGTAACAAATGTGCCGGAAAACCAATACACATGTGTTGTACATAAGTGTATTGTACACGTAAATTTTACGCGTATGATAAACTTTGGTTCACTGTCACCTTAACGTGTTCACACAACTTGAAAAGATGAAATGTCGACTTGAAAGAACTGATTTAAATGCAAATCATTTCTTTGTACCATACGCCGAATGAATGCATGAATGCAATAATTTCACACTATGTCTTTTTTGCATGGATTAAAGCTTAAGTGCATGAGCGACAAGTGATGACAAGTACAAACATGTATACATATATATATTTACATTGGATGTTTTATTCATATGTGATGATACGTTATTGCACGCCTGTATTAATGCATGTTGTTAAACGTAATAATTATATGATTGCATGTTGTCTTCACCTAAAAGATTTATATATCACGCAATGCATTTCGAAACCCCACGTATTCTTGTACAAATACCGCTAATTAATCAACCTTTTTTCATAATATTCATTCATCAAAATATAAATTGAAGTTCCATACACAACTATATGATATCCATCTACTGAAAATCTCCATCTTTCGCCTGTGACGAGAAATGCCAATAATATAAATGTAAATGACTTGAACATAAGCAACTTTTATGGAAAGCTGCCGACAACTTGACATTTAATGGCCCATTTTCTACCACATTGCACTAGTTCCTTCAGTCATCAAATTTTTCTAGGTCATTTAATTAAAATTTATATGAATTTTCCTCCTGACAATTGAACTCCCCTTTGATCTTTTATCTCCGTTGACGAATTCCTGAATGTCAAAACCAGCTTAATGATTATTATGAAATGCGTTGTCAAAATTAGATCTTGATAAAAAGAGAGGGGATTTGCTTCGGTCCATGGTTGATAGAGAAGAATGAAATATTCATTATTCATATTTTGTAAGAGTAGAGTACATGTAGTACTTTTTTCCTATATTTAATTAAATGAACTAAATGAATTAAATGCATGCTGAAACTAGTAACATAAGGAGCACAACTAAAAGACAAAAATTATTTTAATAACTACATTTCAGACTAAAATAAATTCGCTTAATAAACATGTACATGTATATATATACTCCCTGAAAGATAACATGGGGGAGGGTTTTGTGCCAGATTCATTTCCTGAGAGAAAATTGATTTCTTTTTCCTCACGACAATACGTTGTCCTTCGTCTGACTACACGTCTGTGAATTTATTACAGTGTAGTGATATAGGTTTACTTAAAGTAGTAATATCCATTATGGGGTAGAATTGTTAAGTATATAATTGTGACATTTTATGTCGGAATTTTATTGAAAGCGAATTTTAAGCTTGGTGTTTGTAATGACAAAACTTATGGTAAAAATCTTTATATTTCTAAAGAAGGGTAGGTTTCATACGTCTTCATGGGCGTACATTCTTGGGAAAAAAAATTATGTAGTTTTTTCTTCTTTATTTTTTAAAAAATATTTATCACAAGTTTGAATTGTTTAATTTGTTACAGGGTTCTTGTCGCCCCTCCAGAAGGCGAATCCCCCCATGCTTTCCTCACAGGAGCAAGATACAACAGGTAATCATATATTTTAAAAATTATCATGATAAAACCTCTTTTTTCTAGGTGAAAATAAAAGTAGGATAATAGCTACACAACGTAAACCTCGTAAATTAAAAGCGCTTTGCTCATCACGCCTTCAGCGTTTATGTCAAATAATCACGCGAACAAATTAATTGATAATATCACAACAGTCAAAATATTAGGCATTTTTTTCTTAAATATACAGAGTAACATAAAATTGACAGGTATATGTTCATAACGTACTACGTATATACAACCCGCTTTCGTTTCAAAAAAAATTTAAGTGCATTTTACAGCATATGTGCCTCAAATTAATGTTAAAAATCATATCTATTTTGTAACGAACTTTCACACAGAAATTATATTTACTAATAGAAATTGATAAGTCAATTAAAAATTGTAAAATGCACATTTTTAGCATTTTGAAAATGATATCCGTGACGCCCTCTCAGTGCAAGAATTTTTTATTCATACCAAGTGGGTTACTAATTAGTAAAAGTACATTTCGTGGTTATTTCACGTTCCTTATCATAGACCAGAGACCGAGAATATTTTCATTATAAACAGACACATTTAAAGCCTTTCTATCATGGGTTATGATTTTATTGCGTTAATTTTTAACTTTTTTTATCACTAGAAGACATTCATCTTGAGAATGCCAGAAGTACAAATGTCATTTTGAAAATCGTGAATGTTTTTGTTTAAAGTAATAGAATTCGTGAGAAAACAATTACATAAGCTACGATTTTAATTATGCTCTTGTCGTGTTCATGTGCCTCTTCTGACAATTAATTTATTGTTTAAATATTAATCTGCATTTACTTACAAATATATTTCCACTATTAATTGAAAAATAATAAATGAGAATTTTTTAAAATAAAAAAAATAGTTTACTGTACAGGTATTTCTGTTCTGTTAATTCTAAACATAGTCTTTTATAATTATTATTCACAGGAACCAAAAATTTTACCAATTTTAATTTGCGGCCTTCTGGGTAGGAATTTTCGCGGGGAAACATTAATAAGTACACGTGTATCTTCATGAAACAATATGAAATTATGAAGTACCCAGAACATAAATGGTTATTCTGAAATCACTAATTTTCGTGGGAAATTAATTTTCGTGGTTTTCGAGGTATGAAGAGACCCACGAATTAACGTCCACCGTGAAATGCAAATTTTCGCATATAATATTGCTGAACAACTCTTGAACCAATACATTTTCTTCAAACCACGAAAATTTGACCCCTCGAAAATATGCAATTTTACAGTATGTTAATAGATATATTTTGAATATGGTAGTAAACTTTTAATATTATGTTTTATTACCATTGAAAAATATCTTCAAGAAATAATTAAGAAAAACCTATCATTTTTTTTCTCACACAAATGCTAATGCTATTATCTATAATTAATCATGTACTTTATTGAGTACTTTTAAAATTATCGCATATTTGATGCCTAAAAATATAAAAATATTGCCCCCATTTTTCACAGAGCCCATTTGCTTGATGCCAAGAGTTTGTCAGTCTATGGGGTATACATGCCAAGGACGAATCCTCAAGGAATCTTTATGACAGGTCATGCTACACAGAGGTCAAGGGATAAAGGTCAAAATATACCCGCAGTACCCCCAGGTAGGATGGAGTTCTAGGTTTTAAAATCATGATCTTAGAACTTTCAGTTTCAGCAGTGTTGCACAATACGTGTATGCACATCTACTGAAAAGCTGCCTTGGTTAAAATTGTAGGACAAAAAATAAAGCTAATTGTTATTAAAGAACAAGGTTCACTTTTGCCTTTTTTTGGCCCTGTGAATTTCTGAAAAACTGAAACTGCTTAGTTTTAGTTAACAATGCATTGAATAACACTTACATCTTTGGTGATTTTGGATCTATCAAAAATGACATAATTTTCCGGCTAGTCAATGCATTATGACATCACGAAATGCGTCAATTTCCTAATATTCTGAAAAAGTCTACAAAAACAGTTAAATTTTAAAGATATTTTCGATATTTAATATAGAGCGCAACCTCTGATCTAAAATATGCAACTAGTAAATAATACACTGTAGAACTGTTTCTGAGGATTAAAAGACATGTTTTATTTTTTAGATTAGAGAGTGCACTCATATTATTTTTCTTCACTGAAAGTACTCAAATATACCTGTTTACCTTTAAATTCAAGAACATTACAATTTCATAAAGCCACATCTCCAAGACCTGGACTTTAGGAGAACATTTTTGACAGGAAATGAAAGAACTAAGTCTCTATTTATTTTTAATGCTTCAGATGGAACATCATTCAAGTGTTCATCAATCAGTTGGTTTATCTACAGGGCCATTTTATGCATAAAGTGAGCCGAGCTCTTTCTACAAATAAATATCTCTAAATATTGTTAAAATTCACTATTTAATCTATTCTCACACTTGTGTTGACTTGTTTCTAAGTATATCGCATGGTTTACAAAATATCAGCGTATTAAATGGTTTAATTAATATTGGTTACGCAAATATTTTTTCGAAAATATATTCACATTTGTAGGTGGAGTTTGACAGAAGGACATTAATCACTTTATAAAGGGGCATTAATACATCGTTGTTAAAATAATTCCTTTGACATTTCCTGAAAAGAATTTTTTACATTATTTTGAATCCCATTTCCGTTTATTCATAGTGACAAGCCATACATTATAAAAGATGAAAGGAAAAATATGGTATTTATATCAAGGTCAGATACTATTGTTACAGTGTCCTCTTTTATGTATTTCCTTTTACATACACAATGCATTGCTTGTACACAGAGGAAGAAAAAATGACTGTGCAATGGTATTTGGTTAAAAAAAACAACAACTCATTGAAAGAAAGGAAACGTTATTTAATCACTAAATTCCTTTCACGGATATGTAACATTGAAGGCCATTTACATACGTGTGAAGAATGCTTGTTGAGTTGGAGAAAATTATAGTTTTTACCATACTAAAAAGAAAATACTGAGTTGACCCATTTCATTTTCAACTATGGGATATATGTACCTGTAATTTGCTCTAAGAAAAATGTAAAGGACAACATAGTTTTTACGAACAGACATTGTTTACTAAAATAGGAAAAGCTTATACAAATAAATTTTTGATTATTCAGTGTAAATTTCAATTTTATTCTATTCTAAATCAAAGGGCATGCAGGTGTCTCTAACTGCACAAAAATACCACAAAGTCAGAACTCGACGGTATGCAGTGTATTAAATTCAATAACTTCGTTTATTTACAATGTACCATACCGGAGGTTGGTAAGTAATCTTATAATACGTATAGAAAAAAAAATATTGATACTGTTTTAGATTCCCCGCGTTCTGACGTCGACGAGGCGTCAAAACCAGTGACGAAGCGCCCCTCAACAGCGCCGGGTAAAAGGTTACTATCTTCCGGTTCTTCACAGCACCCCGGGGGACGGCCCCGCAGTGCGTGGGGGGAACACTCCACAACATGTCACTTGGTGCACGGGGACACTGAAAGTGAGAATGAGAAACCTAAGAAAAGTTGGTGGCTTTAGTGGTAGCACGTGGTGGTGGTCGCCATATTGTAGACGTGTCGCTTCTCTAACCATCTCTAGCTGTTCTTTTCTATTTTTTGGCTTATAGCATATAGAAAGTTTTGAATTTCTAATATAAATTAGCATATGTAGAAATCATTATCGTAGTCATTTTTAACTTGTTTAGAAATAGAGAAATATCTTTCATTAATTAGTACATGTAGTTCATAGAAAGATAACAAGCATGCGTGACATTGTAGGTCTTTTATCAATCTTGTATTTTAAAAAGATTTTGACGATTTCCGTTTATGGACATCAGAAATTTCAAAACACCTTTTGAACACATACACTGTAGCAAACAACTATGCTTTCTACTGGTATAACTACGAAGCACCCCACGAAAAAATGAAAGGAACACGCAATTTTAATAAAACTCCCCCCGAAACTGTGCGAAATAACCATAAAAACATTTGAATCAAATGTAATGTTAATCACTGGCCTATAGAAATAATTATAGCATTCTGAAGTCTTTATAATAGTAACTTAATAATGATGGTTTTCATTCAATGATTTGCATTTCATATACATGTATATATGCTGTATTACATGTAAATAGACCGGTAACGTTAAGGTCTCAAAGAAAATTTGAAAAAATAAGATTTCCCCCCCAAAAAAGATTCTTTACAAATTCGAATGCTGTTCATTTTCTCTTCATAATGTATTCATTTCTTATATTAGGAAAATACATATTTTTGTTGTATAATAATTTATTCCCAAGATTAAATATAACTAGACCAAGGTATGCGTTATGATAATATTATGAAAAAATAGGCTTAATGGTAATAGCATTTTGTAAAGCTTTTAACATTTATTTTGTGAAATGAGATATCTGTAATTATTTTCATTAGCAATATAATAGTAACTACGTTTCAGTACAGTATTTTTCGTATTTTAATTGATGACATACTGGCTAAGTTTTCATTGAATTTTGTCAGACAGACAAAAGTTACTAAGGGACACGAGTTTAGAGTTAAATTTCTCAATACTTTCAAAATACCTTAAATTTATACCCCCCCCCCCAAAAAAAAAAAAAAACAATGCGTAAAGTGGGATTTAGGATATTCAGTAATATGCATTTTTATTACCACCCACCCCTCCAATACAGTAAAAATAATGAAGAAATTATTAGCGAGTATTTTATGATAATTGAGAGAGAGGGAGAGAGAGAATAGAAGGTGCGAGTGCATTTGACACAGCTTTTACACAACAACCACCTACACCCGCTTATAGATGTAAGTGTCGAATCACATTTGTGTACACGTGTCTTATTTTTCTTTTTTATTTGCAAGCGATTAATTAATTTTGTTTGCTTATTGAATAATTTTTGCTTTGCTGTGTCATTCTGCGTGGTAGAATTACGCTGTAGTTCTTTTTATTAAAAATTTTAGTCTTTCATACATGAATTGTATTTAATTAATATCAGTCTTAGAGGGTTTTTTTCATATACTGATACACTGTATAATACATTCTCAGAAGTCATTGATTTAAGCTGTAAAAACAGACAAAAACGAATAATGTACCGGTATATGTAATAATGTTCACTGATTTAAGAGATATTAACTTTCTGAAACAAGGAACTTTGTTAGTTCGTTAACACAAGATTTATTTTTATTTTTTACAGAGGTAGTGCTGGTGACCTTCAAAGGGAGTAAACATATGAAAAATCCGGAATCCGTTCTTCCATCCGTCACCGGTCGCACTGCACCAAAAACGTACTTCCGCCGACCACGAGAAATGGCAGACGATTCTGCCTCTTTGCATGCTCAACCTCCACCCACTCCTGTTGGTGCGTTTTCGGTTCGGGATGAAAGTGAACATGTTCCAACAGAATCCGGACGAGAACAATTGAATTCTGTTGATCCAAATCCGGATGAGGTACCAGCGCATGCAGATGTTGACCAAAGACTTGATAAGATAATAGAAAAACCGGACATTGATGATAAGATATTAGATAAAATATTAAATGAACAGGAAATCTTGCTAGAAAAATCAAGGCTAACTTCGTTTGAAACAAAGAATGGCATCGATACCGAAAAAACGGAAACTAACAAAGAAAAAAGTAAGGAAACAAAACTTCTAGATATTACTGAATTGACTCTAAATGGCCAAGACTCAAGCAAAGTAGATAATTTAACCAATGAACAGAAACCAAAGGATGAAATCTTCATCACAAACAATGAAAATCAAGTCTTAAACGGCGACAATGATAATGTTGACGATGCAGACAAAGAAAACATCCCTTCTGACTTAAAAACGGACTGCATAGCTGAGGAAGAAATTCCCACACAGATCCACGTGACAATTACGGAAAAACCGCATGATTCTACACCAAATTAACTTCCGGTTAACGCCATTACCGTTCTTAGTTCTTCAAAGAGCACCAATCTAGAATGTTATTTTTGGCTTACGTTAACAATTTTCAAGAGAGGAAATAATATATGCTAGGTCTTGATTCGTTCTAATATCCTTTTTATGCCCCGTTGATCCATTCTAATATCCTTTTTATGCCCCGTAATTAGCTTGACAATGTACATTTGAACATGCATATATATCTAATATCATGAATTTCAATCGAAATAACATGCAACCTACTTCTAATATTCCTATTATAGTCAGATAGCTTTTCATTTAAGGGGAATGGACCTGTTCAATTCATTTTCTCGAAAATATGGTGATTAAAGGTTACCGGATTTAATAGATTTTTACGACTTCTTTCCGTTCAACGGAAATAAAATTGATAAAAATAATTATTATTAATGAAAAAATCTGGATATGATACTCAATATATTCCAAAATGTATAACGGAAATAGTATACATTTGGCATGCGTTTGGGGTATCAATCATTTTGGCTGTTTCACTTTGTGGTTTTAAATTACCTACCACTTACATATGAATGTTAGACTTATTAAAGCCTGTTTAATTTCATTTATCCTTATTAGTCGAGAGTCATCAAGACTGATCGAAATAAACCTTTTAAAATTTGTATTATGATGCAAAAAAAACAAATAAGACGGTATTCTATATGATTATATATACCTAACAGTTTTGCGGTGAGAACATACATGTAGTTCATTTCGTCATTTGTCTCATGTTTTTGTCTTGCTAGTCTTTTGTCAGGAAGTCATTGTTTTACCTATGAATACCGAAGCTTTGTTTTTTTTGACAATCACCCTTACATGTTGCATTTATGTATTTGTATTCCGCATAATAAACCGAGATTATAGAATGTGCATCTTTCCATTTTTTTAGCTCACCTGGGCCGAAGGCTCAAGTGAGCTTTTCTGATCACATTTTGTCCGGCATCCGTCTGTCCGTCTGTCTGTAAACTTTTCACATTTTCGACTTCTTCTCAAGAACCGCTGGGCCAGTTTCGACCAAACTTGCCACAAAGCATTCTTTGGTGAAGGGGATTCAAAATTGTTCAAATAAAGGGCCACGCCCTCATTCAAGGGGAGATAATTGAGAATTAATGAAAATTTGGTGGTATGTTTTAAAAATCTTCTCAACAACCACTGTGCCAGGAATGATAAAATTTATGGGGAAACATCCTTCTTCTCAAGAGCAGCAGAGTCATTATTGCTCATATTTATATAAAAGCATCCCCAGGTAGTGTAGATTCAAGTTTGTTCAAATCGTGACCTTTGGGGGGTAGGGCGGGGCCACAATGGCTGACCAAAGTTTTACATAAAAATATAAAGGAAAATTCTTTAAAAATCTTCTCAAGAACAGCAAAGCCATAATTGCTCATATTTATATGGAAGCATCCCCAGGTAGTGTAGATTCAAGTTTGTTCAAATCATGACCCCTGGGGGAAGGGCGGGGCCACAATGGCCGACCGAAGTTTTATATTGAAATATTTAGGAAAATTCTTTAAAAATCTTCTTCTCAAGAACAGCAGAGCCATAATTGCTCATATTTATATGGAAGCATCCCTAGGTAGTGTAGATTAAAATTTGTTCAAATCATGACCCCTTGGGGTAGGGCGGGGCCATAATGGCCGACCAAAGTTTTATATAGAAATATATAGGAAAACTCTTTATATCTTCTTTTCAAGAATAGCACAGCCATAATTGCTCATATTTTTATGGATGCATCCTCAGGTAGTGTAGATTCAACTTTGTTCAAATTATGACCCCCGGGGGTAGGGCGGGGCTAAACTTTTGGATTTAAACTTTTCAATAGTAAACCAATTTCTACTTTTTCCTAGCCACAATGCTCGGGTGAGCGATGTGGCCCAAGGGCCTCTTGTTAATCTAAAGGTTCCTGTACATGAACTTGCTTATTTATGACATTTATCAGAAAAAAAACTTTTTCACATATGCTTTACTAAACAACATCAAAACGAACGACTTTTCCATGTTTGTACAATTATAACTCACGATAAATTACCGTTCAGTCTTTTTGACATTATTGACTTCATTCATAGCTGCTTTTGCCCTGAGGGGATCCGGGTTAGAATACGTCCTCAGTACCCCCTTGCTTGTCGTAAAAGGCGACTAAATGGAGCGGTCCTTTGGATGAGACCGTATAAACCGAGGCCCCGTGTCACAGCAGGTGTGGCACGATAAAGATCCCTCCCTGCTCAAAGGCCGTAAGCGCCGAGCATAGGCCTAAATTTGCAGCCCTTCACCGGCAATGGTGACGTCTCCATATCAGTGAAATATTCTGGAGAGGGACGTTAAACAGTATACAATCAATCAATCAATCATAGCTGCTTTTACAAGAAGTGAAACTCGTAAATGAACTTATCTTATCGTTGGTTACTTACAACATTAATTTGTTCAAAATATTGCGATTATAGATACATGTACACGTACTCTGAAGTTTATATTAATTAAAGATGCTTGAGTTATCAATATTATGTAGTTTTAGGTGACAAGGTCTTCCAACCATCTCTCGGAAATCCCAGGGGTACTAAATGTAATAGCGTTATATTGTTATAAGTTTTTTATTTGTATTCATATGATTTAGAACTTATTCGAAATCTTAAACATAAAAAGAAAACACTTGCTGTGGCCTTCTTCTGACATAAAGATATATCTTTAAGTATTTTCAACTAACAATATCACTTCAATTCATATGTCGACTCTATATATCCAGTGAGCTAAAATTTAAAGATGTTACAGAGTCTGATTGATTGATTACCGTTTAACGTCCCTCTCCAGAATATTTCACTGATATGAAGACGTCACCATTGCCGGTAAAGGGCTGCAAATTTAGGCCTATGCTCGGCACTCAGGGCCATTGAGCAGGGAGGGATCTTATCGTGCCAAACCTGCTGTGACACGGGGCCTCGGTTTATACGGTCTCATCCGAAGGACCGCCCCATTTAGTCGCCTTTTACGACAAGCAAGGGGGTACTGAGGACCTATTCTAACCCGAATCCCCACGGGACTTACAGAGTCTGACAAAAATATGCTAGCTTTTTATATTTGGATATTTTACTAAAACATTTTGTTACTTTACAAGAGGAAAACGTTAATGGTGACTTGAAAACAAAGCTTTAAGATTAACGTAAAGACTTCAACTTCTGAATCGTCAACTTTCCTTACTTATAATGCAATTAACTCATCACTTATATAATGGTTTTTGTCTTTCATTCGATTCGATACGCAAGAGCATACTGCATGTAGGCACACTATAGATTTCCTCTGAGTCTGTCCGTCCGTCTGTCTAGCTGTCCGTCAATCTGTCCAATTTGGTTTTTCACAATTTTCTTTTTAAACGCTTGCAGATATTGAGCTAATTTTTGTTATGGAATTGTATCTTGATGAATTACAAATCAAATTTAAAAATTTTGTTCCGCGTCATTATGTTTTCACGGAGTTGCGTTTAAAGAATAAATAGGGATTACGATCGGGTTCATGATGTCCTAAATTAATGTTCCAAACAAGATTGTATCCTTAAAGAAAAAAGGGGAACACGGTGGAGGACATGTTTTGCTTATACAATACTCTCAAAATGTTTGTTCCCCAGGGCTTAGAGAGATCATAGACATCTGTTTTTTTTAGATAAAAAGTGAACTCATAAATTTACTTCCCTTGTAAGTGCACGTGGTCTTTTGCAATTTTGTGGGTTACAATCATTCTGGTCGTACATGTACTCTGAAGCTGATATTTAAAATGTGCTTGAGTGTTTTGATTGACATTGTTCATGTCGGTTTCGGAGATTAGGTATTCCAACAATCTGTAGGAATTCCCACCGGTACCATGCAATGGTAATTGCGAAAATTACCACATGGATATAGATATTTTTAGTTTTATCCGAAATTTTGCAAAATGTTAAAAATATTATCCTATAAATATACTCATTATATTTTTACGAACTTTACTCAATATACCAGACTCTTAAAATATTTCAAAGATTTCAATAAATCTTTCCTAGAAAAAGACTAAACCATTGCACGTGTAATCTTTTTTTTATTTATTGCTGTTTCAAATTTTAAATCAAACTTTAAAAATATAAACCAGTAGAGCTACAGTCTCTCAGACTTCTGGTTTCTAAAATGATGTAGATGTATTTACAGAATTTTACTTCACAATAGAAAGATTTTCGGTGATTTAAAAAAAAACACCAATGAACAGAACAATGATACTTAATTTTGTTAAGTTTTTTGTGTTTGCTAGTTAATACCAATCTGACTTTCAAGAAGAGGAACTCGTTGAAAGAATGAATATCTTCGGTACCTTTCTATTCATAGTTACCATGGAAAAACATTCAAGTAAAATTCAAAGTAAAACAGAGGCCCGTAGGCCATATCGCTCACCTGAATAACTTGAGCCTTGCTGTTCTTAACCAGATTCCCTTTGTGATACCTGTTGTGACCAAACCCAACCCTCGGGGTCATGATTTTGGACAATTTAAAATCTACGTTTCCTCAGGATGCTTAAACATAAGTTTCAGCTTTTCTTGCCCATTGTTTCTTGAGAAGAAGATATGAAAGTCACCTGAGTTAACTCAGTTAACGCACAAAACATCTATAGGTAAAGGGAAACAAAAATTATGAATTTCATGGTCCCTGAGCCCTGGGGCCTGAGGGGTGGGACCAAAACCACTCAAATTAATACAGTCTTTAAAAATCAGTCAAACTGTTGGCATGATTGTAAACAGGATTGAGTCCTCTACCCTAATTGTGAAATGCATGGCCCCTGGGTCAAGTGTTCTTGTTGAAGGGTGGGGCTCTATTGATTATATAGTGAAAATACATTAATTCTTTAAAACTCTTCTCTCCCCCTGGGTATTAAATAAACTAACCAAGTACAAGGTTGTGTTGAATAAGGCTGTCTCTTCCAAAATTGTGAATTTCATGGCGCCAGGGTCGGGGGTTTGGGTATTAGGACGGGGATCTATTGATTTTAACAAACTGACAAAGTACAAGATTTTAGTACATATTTATGATGAAGAAAGGTGCCTCTTCCAAAATGGTCAATTTCAAGGCCCCTAAGTCTGGGGTACAAATTCATTTGTTGGAAAGTTGTTACAAGACCTTTAAGGCCCTTGGGCCTCTTGCTGAAGATTTTTTCTATATATTTCAATGTAAAACTTAGATCTCCTATTGAGGCCCGGCATCATGATATTTCCACATAAGTTTCAGTTTTTCTGTCCCTTTGATTCTTAAGAAGATTTTATAATGACCCTTCCCTAATTTTGTCTTTTCTTGATTATCAGACGACGGACAATGGATGATCAGTAAAGATCACTCAGGTGTCAGCTAAAAAAATATGAACAGAAAAACTTATCACAGTTAAGTCCACTTTTGTTAAACCAGATCAGAAAAGTAGAGTTTGAAATTTTTCTATTTTTCAAATGATGGTATCTTTCAAGTCATAATTTTAATTAGCCCAGGGACAGTGAATATAAAATTTACATGACAACTTTGTCATGGTATGTCATATCGTCATGCAGGAGAATTAACTGTTGCAGGAAAAGGATATGTACATACATAACCCAATGAATTTCACACTTATATTTTCTCAAAAGTCTGTATCATTGCCCATTTTTTGTCTATCATAAGATGTTCTTGAATGTATACAGTTACATGTAGACAGAAATGGCGTACATGTTGTCTGCATATTTCCAATCTTTTCAGTTAATGTTCTGTGGCATTAGTCCCACAGTAAAAGGAAGAAAGATATTCTTTTGTTAATATTATGTCTTTATTTAAATAAATCATAATACTACATTATAATCATACAAAGTACATTTCTGTATGTAAAATATATTGTATTATTGATCTGTACGTTATGGTATATTGATGAGCCAACTACTTAAAAACCGGTCTAACCGGTCAGCGTTAAAAGAATGATTAAAGGAAGTGGTTATAATAATCATCATAAGAAATAATAGAAAAAATATTCAGTTGATGCAAATATAGAATTCTTTCGTAGTTTTATAGCTTTTGAAGACGTATTCTCAATATATATCATATAAACATATTACATTTTTCCAGTATACTTTAGTTTCAGGGCATATTATCTCCACACAGTTACGTTTTATCTGTGTTTTTGTCGTACAAATACCTCTACAGTTCTTTAAGTTAAGATAGAAACATCAAGAAATCTATCTTTACACCTGTCCATTTCTCTGTAATTGTTGTTTAACACATTTTATTCTAAAGTCTGTAGCTTCTTTTATTCTGTGGAATGGTTCCTGTTTGAGCGACTCTTCATAAGACTGTAAAGCCCCGTGTAAGTCTCCCACAACTTGTTGACAGATTCCTAGTATCTGCCAGGATAGGTCTCTTTCTTGTAAAGGCACATATGTCCCGTCATCATAGATCAGCAGTGTCTGTAGGTCTGTAAGTGACTGTAAACACTGAGATCTATTACCTAGTCTATAGTGAGATAAAACAGACAACATCTCTACTATAACAAACGGTGATACGCTAAAAAATGGCACTCCATCATGTTGACTCACACACTGTTCTAAACATAATTCTTCAATACATGGAGTATTTGTAAATGAAAGCACATGGTGTACCCAGGCTATCTTCATTCTTCGAGACAAAGACCGATTTCCTACAGCTTCATTGTACAATTGCCTATCAACATTTTCATTATACAAAATAAAGGTCTTTGATAGTCTTTCTTTAGTGATATAAGTGGTATGCAGTGTTTTATCAAATCTCCCCGTTCTATAATAATACAATGACAAATATAATAAGACAGACACAGGACCTAATCTTGCTGCCATTCTCAATATGCCACAAATTATTGTATCTAAGTTATAGATGTTTTTATGTGTGTAACATGAGGTACTGTTTGCCATTTTGAAGGCTAAACTAACAAGAGACTGAGCAGTACAGTACTGTAATGTTAACAACTGGTACGGTGTGAGTAAAAACCGAGATAGTGTGTTGATTAATTTTAGATAAAGATAAGACTCCCATATATATTGAGAAGAAAAAGATGATTTGAATATTTCAGTCATGCCACAAATATCTGAATCTGCTATACTTATAATTTCTCCCTCAGCAGCAGATATTTCTAAAGACGGGCTACTGAGAGCTGGTTCTAGAATTGACTTGAGAGTCGGACTCAGAAGTAAACAGGACACACCTATTCTGTAATACTGATAAAGCTGTTGTAAAAGAGATTCACGTGCATCATCAACAATTTTGTTCATGAACATGTTGTTCTGTGGAATAAAAAAGTTTGGAAAATCTTCTCGATAAACACAATGTATGAGATATTTGAAACACTTCCAAAAGCAATCTATTAAATTATCCGGAAACCATTTAATGTGACCTAATTGAATCATCCAGAACATTGTGGTCTTCATGAAATATGAACACAGAAGTGGTTCCACCCTGAAATTGATAACCTCCTTCAGAAATATTTTCAAGATCCCGTAACATAAAAATTGTGTATGATTCATGGAACACACTAGTTGCTCTTCAGCTCGGGAATACGATAATCTCCATTCCAGATCATTATAAGGCGATTCAAATTTACTCCCAATAGGCATACAGTGACATTCATTTTTTAAAATTTTTTCCAACACAAATGCAGAAGGCCAGGTATGTCTCTGGCATCTCTCAATCCAACTTCGTATTAGTTTAGGCCAAGTAAAAGATGCTAGACAACAGGCATCATCGAATTCAATAACTCCAGACGAACTACTACTAGCACAAGGACCATGAATTTTTAATTTTTCTAGGTTGATGCCTTTCTTATGCAAGGCTTGAAAATAATATTCTCTCCACAGACGACTTGACATATACGTACCATCGTTACAGAAAACAATAGAAGATATTGCGATTTCGTGTCGTGGATGCGTCAGGAGGCGTAATCTGACAAATCCTGGCGGTGTATGAGAATCTTCCATTAGCACAAATATATTTTTTGATGTATTATAAAGCTGAGACTGGGCTGTGTCAGTTATTAATTTATAATCACAAAACCAATGCATCTGATCAATGTCAGAAGTTGTCAACCTAAACCCCTCTCTATAACTACCACTCTTAATCATAACATATCCTGTATGAATGGTAACAGTTTTCTCTATCATCTCATAAATGTCCTTTACGTCTCTTCTGATAGCCACTTCTGTCGGTGTCCCTATCTTATGACACAGTCCGACATACAGGACTTCTGATAGACGGGGAATGTGGTTCATTCTTATATGTATCTCTATATAAATAGAGAAAACTGTAGTAATAATGTATTGTTATACATTGCAATACAAATCGAGAGAAGATTTAAATGATAATGTTAAAAAGAAACATACAGGGAAGTAACCTATTTGATACCTGATTTTCTGCAAATGGCGGTCTATCTATACATGTACGTGATAAATTAAATGGAAAAACCCACTCAACCTTCTTTCGTTTCGCAGTGAAAGTTTATGGAACCCCATGTCTGCCTTATGTTAGGTATTTTGTTATTTGCTCTGAGTCTATTATTACATGTAAGCTGTGGTTTCATAAATGTATGCTGTGGATTTATAGTTATATGTTTTGAGTCTATTATTATATGCTGTGGGTTCATGGTTATATGCCGTGGATCTAGTACGTAAATCTATTATTATTATTTGCTGTAGGTTCATAATTCTATGTTAAGGCTCTTTTCTTATATGCTATGGGTTCATACATGTAGTTATATGCTGTGGGTTCATAATTGTATGCTGTGGTACACTTGAATTATATACAAGGGTTCTTATTATAAATTCGCCTAAAACGAAATGGTGATAGATTCATTGTTTTCAATAAACGAGTTTTTTGTTTGATGTTATTAAGGAATAAATGTCTATAATTTTTTATTGCATGATTTGATCAGTTGAGTGGCTTGCTTGATAATTAAATCAAAACACCTTACATTTTAAATCTTAAATTGCGTCAAAGGTTTAAAAATGTGTGTTTTCAATTATTCGAATATAATAAAAGCAAGCTATAGATAAAATCAAGTTTACAATAAATATGGAATCTCTAAAATGGGCCCCCTGATTAAGCATGATTATTTTGTTGCCGAAACACTCTACGTCAAGTTCTTGTTAAAAAAAAAGTGCAAAGCATTGCCATTGAAATTATTTAAAATAATTTCTTCTAGAACGCTTAAAGATCACCTAAGAGCTTCGAATTATCTCTCGGAGCCAAAAATGGTCTTTAAGAAAATATATTATGCAAGATGTTTTGAATGCCTTGAGAGAAATATACATGTATCTGATAAATCATTGAGAGTACGTAGAGAGACCACGTGAGCTTACTGTATTGTATAGACTGTACCGGAGAAATCGATGTGCAAGCTTTGGGCGTTTTTCTAGAGACTACTTACCTTTCCAATTCTTGCATGACGTTACATATATCAGCTATATGAAAAACTTTGCATTTTCTTCTAAAGATATTTTATATTCATATGATTTGTGTGGGTAAACTCATTTTTTTTAAATTCCCAATTGCTTCAAACTGTATTTTTTTTATTCCATGCAGTCACCTGTGTGTAGTCTGTTTTAAGTTTATTGTCCGTAATAGACGAATTTCACATTCCTAAGAGTTATCTCCCGTTGTCGGCGTAACGCTCATTTTCCCCACTTTGTCCTTTGTAAGTTACCTGTTAATATTTTTAAATTTCAAACGTTATAGTACAATTTCGATATGTACCTGTATTGCCAGAGTATAGGGCAACATGAAAAACATAATGGGCATATTCATATAGATTTTATTTTTAGGATACTGACCCATAAAGTTGGTAAGGTTATAGAGGGAAAACAGCGTCTTACGCCGGTTGACCCCAGATTGACCCCGCAAAGGGGAATAACTTTTGTAATGTGAAAGTCGTCTATTATCACTGAAAATGTACACTATCATTATTAAACGTACCAATCAATAATAGTTGCCCTGGTGACAACGAATTGACACGACTTTTTTTAAACTAAAAGAGCCCAAAGTAGGTGTGACCGGCCAGCTGAGATTGATTAGTCCTGCAAGGCACCTGATCCCACCTCTAAAAATCTAGGGTTCCGTGTTTTGTGCTCTCGTTACAGATTTGTATTGTTTATACATTTCTTGAGATCAATAAAGTTTATCATTGAGTCAAATGCTGACTGACGTTTTTCATACCAATTGTTAGTCCATTATTTATTCACTGAATTGAGATGGATTTTCCCCGTTATTTCCTGATCATTACAATCATCACACGACGGGTGTGACCGGTCGGCAGGGGGTACTCTCTCCTCCATGGCACCTGATCCCACTTCTGATGTTTCGGGGGTCTGTGTTTGCTCTGCTCTTATTATGTATTGTTTAATGGACTTTGAGATAAAATACTGTTCGTTATCTTCATATCCTTCCATCAATTTGACGTATCTTCACCTTTTTCATTTAAAAAATATAACGAATAGTATTTTCAGGATTCAGTCCAAAAATAAGTTTTAAAAAACAGCCCCCTTTACTCTAATGTTCTAGTAACTTAAAATCAATCAAAATATATCAATGTAATTTCTGGCAGATTGATGTCAACATGGGGATACAGTCATGAGATTTATGATAGCCAAACAAGGACACCTTTTCTTCTTGCTGCATTCGATCAATCCCTTTTTCTAAAATATCATCCATAAAACATAAAGTGTATTTTGAATATGTTTAACATAGTTATTGGTAATTGTTATCAACTCATAACTACGCAAATAATTGATACAGGAATACCTTCATCTGAGCAATATATTTTTTTCTCTACTTTATGATTGTTAGGGATCAATTAACTGTTTACTTAATATTTTACTGATAGTATATTGGTTTAGATATCGAGCGTGGTGTCTCTTCAAGGAAGCAGGGTTTTGTGTGTTTCTAAATTTGAATGACTAAAAAAATTGATTGAATCGTGACTTGAAGTATCATAAAAACGAATGAAATTGCTTTGTTTTTGTTTGTTTGGTTGTTTTTTTTTTCTTTTTTTTTGAATGAAAGTTATTCTTCATATCTCAAAACATTTTGTCTGGTTTGTGTACATCGCACTTCTATTAATTATTTCCAAGTAATATCGAAGACACGGATAATGTCACCGAAATATACTTTCTTTACCCAAATGTATGTTTTTATAAAAATATAATTAAAAATACCTTTCTAAATTCAACGTCTAGAGCATGTACTGTATGCCCCCTTGTAATACCTACTGTGACTTCTACCTACCCCCGGCGGTCATGTTTTGGACAATTTTGAATCTGTATGCACTGTAGAAAAGTTTAATTAAAGCTACAGTGCTATGTAGAGGACACTTCATATCTCTCTTAAATTTTAATACATCTTTATTATGTTTACCCCAACCAGTAATTAATAGATACATGTATCAGTCAGAGCGTGAAAAATATTTCTTTTTTATTTATTTAATTACTATACTTCATTTTTTATCTTTGTTGACTAACAGTGATTATTCTCAAATGTCCATTTAAACTATACAAGTTGTATTCCAGAGCCAATACAAATCTCTAAAAAAAGAGGTGGGATCAGGTGCCATGGAAGAGAAAACAAGCCTTGTTGTCCGGTCACTCTTGCTCTGTGTTACTTGTCATGATCAACCAGGTTAACAGCAAATCCGTAGATAATTAAGGTTGGAAAAAAGGCCTATCAATTTGAAGACAGCAAAATTAGGATTATTTTTTGAGAGGCTTAAAATAATAAATTATTCATTAATTATTCAATATTAACACTGGAGTGTGTAAACCAAAATGTGGGTCACCATGAGCTTCTTTCATGGCTATATCTAATTTCAGATAACAAGAAACATAGAATGATCAAACCTTGTCAGTTTATGAATTTTGATATGTTAAAAATAAGCCGTAATATACCAAGAAATTCTTTGACAATATAAGGCTATATCTACAAGTAAATGACTATAAAGAACGATCATTCGGATGAGACTTATGAACCGAAATCCCATGTCGCAGTTGAGTTAGTGGCACAATTCTCTGATTGACAATGTTACTGTCGTTTTCGGAGATTTGGTTTTCCTCCAATCTGTTGGAATTCCTACCGGTACCAATGGTTATTTAGGAAAATTACCCTATTGATGTAGATATTTTAGTTTTATCCCAAAAGTTGCAAAATGTTAAAAATTATACTCTGTAAATATACTCCTGATAATTTTAAAAGCTTTATTCAACACGTTCAATACACCAGACTCTCAAACTATGTCAAAGATTTCAATAAATCTTTCCAAGAAAAGGACAAAACCAATAATATTTTTTTTATTTATTGCTGTTGCAAGTTTTTCTATAAACCCGTAGAGCAACAGTCTCGTCAGAATGCGGATTTCTTAAGTAATACATATGTATGTACAAATTTTACTTCACAATAATTGCAGTGTTTGGTTCTAATTTTATATAACCGGAAATGGTAGTTATTGTAAACATGTACCATGTGCACAGAACGAAGTCTGGGGAAAGACATCTTCGCTATCCAAGGGTTTCTGATACGCTACTCTCCTCATAAACCCTTGGCCTACGGTGTTCATAAAAATAGGGATTTTTTTCCAGAGTTCTGATTGGATTTCAGTACACCCAGGTCGACCAATCAGCAATTGTTTTTTGTAAATGACGATATTTGCGTTCGGGATACATCTTTACTCTTCAATCTCGGAAATGAAAAACACGAGTAAACAACGATCCGAAAGATAACATTCAATTCTATGAATAGCCATGGTGTGATCCAATATCTTCTAAATATGTGATTAAGAATCTATATTGAAGCTTGAGATTTGTTTTATAAATAATGAATAAACATAACTCAATTATTGCTTCTTAATTATTCTTGAAAAAACTTTGATTTAATTTTTTTTTAACACGTGTCTTTATTTCTGGCGATGACGCAATCTGTGCGTACCTGATAGATTCGAGATCACGTGACGGAAAACAATCCCGTCTTTTGACTTCACCGTATGCCAAGGGTTTATGAGAAGAGGAGCGTATCAGAAACCCTTGGCTAGCGAAGATGGGGGAAAGAATGTTTCCACTTTAGCATAGTGCCGTGGCCCCTTTTTCGGACCCCTCTAACTTTATCTAATTAACTCAAATTTTAATTATTTTACACCTAACTCATACTTTGTTATCTTTGTAGTATATTACTTGCAAAAAATCACACTGAAAACTGCGTCTTAGTTTTATAAATGGTAATTTAAAAAGCCATA